CCTTTCAGCTTTAGTTATGTGACCTCTCCGGGTTTGACTGTTTCGGGTGGCATTGAGCCCATCTCTCGCTACATGGACATCCAGTTACCCCCACGCTCTACTGAGAGATGGCTCCTTTTGTTATTGTGATGTGTGTGTTGTTTGTCAGGAGAAGCGTRTGAGGGGGTGTGGGGACCCCGCGTGGGAGTGGGTCCTCGAGTGCAGATCTTTGCCTGTCCCTCTGACAGTTTTCTTAGAGAGGTCGGATGCTGGCRTCCCTGGTGAAGCCAGCCGTTGGCCTCTGCTAATGACAGGTAGATAGCCTCGACTTTCACCCGAGCATCTGTCTCCCAGGTCCCCCCTGGGCTGTGTGGCTGGGGACTCCGCCTCCCGCCTCTGCCCGCTCTTCTCTGGTATGTGTTCTTCTGCTGTCCTCCTGGGGTGGCTTCCAACTGCTCTTCGTGATTGGCGCCTCTTCTGTAAGCATGCAGAGAACCTTTGCCACCTCGACATCCCAGGCTGCCCTGGAACATCCTTGACAGCTGCCCAGGAGAGGCGGGGGCTCCCTGCACGCACCGGGGCGCACCAGGGCCCACAGGCCACGTGCCCACAAAAGGCTTTATACGGGAATTGGCCACACAGCTGCGGAGGCTGGAAAGTGCCCAGGCCTGCTGTCAGCACGCTGGAGGTCCAGCTGACGGTGTAGGTTCCAGTCCCAAAGCCACCGGCCAGAGATAGAGCACACCGACGTTTCCCTTCAGCTCTGGGGCAGGAAGAGCCCGCTGGAGCCCCAGCTCCTGGCAGGAGGAAGTCCCTCACCGGGGAGGCCTGTCCTTTTGTCCTCCTCCGGCCCTCAGCTGAGTGATGGATGCCACCCCCACTGGGAGGGCCATCTGCTCCCCTCCGTCCGCCAATTCAAATGCCATCTCACCCTCACACTCCTCCCAGACCTGGCCGCAGGTAATGTGTGACCCAACATCCTGCCCGGGTCATGCAAAATCGATACATAAAATTAACCATCACACCCCAGAGTCGCACAGCCTCCTGACCCTCTGGGGCCGAGTCCAGCAGCAGGGAGTTGGACGCCAGGCTGGGGTTGCCACCAGTGGACCTGGGCCGCTGGGGGTCTCACTGAGCACCGCTGCTCTGTGATTGCTTGGGGGGGCACTGGGGTGGCCTGCTGTGGCTCACCCTTGGAGAGTCCTTCCCCCTGCTTGACCCCAGGGGCAGACCCAGGGTTCACATGTCTGCAGCCTCACAACTCGGGTGGAAGGCCATCTTCTTTAAAAAGAAAACAGTGGCGGCCAGCAGCCCTGGGCCTCGGCTTCCCTCACCTCATGGAAAATGGACCTCCAGCCTGTCTTTCCCCCTAGGGCCCAGGCTAGCCTCGTGACTGGACGTGGCTGTGTGCTCTGCACAATGGACCTCTTCCCTTCAGATCTAAGAGGTGACGCCTCACCCTTCTTGAATGGAACTTTCCAGACCACCCCTCTGGTCTTCTAGTCCTTGACCATGTGGACTTCCCATCCCTTTATCTCTGTGGACTGTAGCTGTAGGTCAGGCTGAAGGCTGGGTCTCCCCACCAGGCCTGGGAGGGTGCTGGACCCTCCTCCATGGGCTGTGGGGTTAGGACGCTGACTCCAGGGTTCCCTTCAGCTAGCCCTTCCCTGACCTCACACAGCCCTCTGGGGCAGAGGAGAGGTGCAAGACGCCCCTGCCCCCCAGGCTTGCCCTCCAGGCACTCCCAGAGGGCACAGTGCTCCAGAGGCCAGCAGGGGGGAGCCGGGCTGCTTTTGCGTGTGATTCCTGGGCAAGCTGAGGCTCTGGATGTGCTCCTAGGTTACAGAGCAGAGCCTGGACGCACAGCCTGCTGGGGGGACTGTGCCCACGTTTCTGGCTGGCCAGGCTCACAGCCCCACCCAGGTGTGCTTCAAATGAGGCTTCCCTAGCAGAGGTGGCTCCTGTTCACGGCTGTGTCCCTGTAAGGCGGAGTGGCGTTGGGCTCTGGTCCCCTGCCTCCCAGCCAGCCYGGGATCGGCCTCTGGAGGCACACACTGCTCCTCCCAGAAGCTGCAGTTTCAGTGCTAGCTCTGTGCCTCCCCGAATCCACTTGTTAGCAAAAGCTCTGTCCTTGTTCCTGATGCCAATCCAATAATGAGAACATGGTTTTGAGAAAAGGGGAAAAGAAGTTTTATTTCTTGGCTAGTAAAGGAGAGACACAGGGGACATCTGTCCCAGAGYTGGGACTCTGCCCATCAGGGGTGCATCAAAGACTGCATTCCAGGTGTGCTGGGCCCGGGGTCCTCACTCGCTCGTGGCCCTGAGAGAGAGCCGTTTCTGAGATGTGCTGCCGGGCCAGTCCCGAGGTCCGAATTACTTTACCCCCCTGGTGTGTGGATGAAACTTCTTTTCCCCTTTTCTCAAAACCATGTTCTCCACTGGAAATAAGGGTGATCTTGTTTTCCCCAAGGTTAGGAAAAACAAGATCACCAACACACACAACCGCTGTCAGTTTTAAAACAATGCGCAGTGGCAGAGCAACAGGCGCCATGCCCCAGCACAAGGGACCCCTGTTGCACACCCTCATGGAAGGCCGGGTACCTGGTCCTCAATCAAAGATGCAGGTGCTTGGTAAATGGGATCTCCAGCTATAACTTTGGAGGTCATTTCTGGGTCACTCCACTTTAGGCGGAAAAAATATCCCAGCTGCTCATGGAAGCAGAGGACTCCGCTGAGCTTTGGCCAGTTTGGGCTTGGCACCCACCCTGACCCCAGGATGCCATTTGATACCCAGCCAGAGGTCAGTGCAGTGAGGGGCATGCCTGTCCGTCCTTGGGAACTGAGATCCACAGGAAGGGTCTTGAGAAAAGGTCCACTGGCGATGACAGCTTAAGGGTCACCATTGAAGCCACCTGCCGAGCAGAGCCAGTTATCCAAGAAGGAAGCAAAGCAGAAAAGCCCCCCCCCCCCCTAAAGTGTAGGGAGGATGCGGTTAGGTCCCCACCCCAATGACCTACACATCCTGGCCATGCAGGTGGACCATCTCACAGAGAGAAAGGGGCACTCCCGCCTCCCGGGGCACGGAGCAGACCGCTTCCTGCTTCCCTTTGACTCTGGCAGGGATTCCTCTTGGGTCACAGTGGCCTCCAGCTGGACAGGGACTCGGTGTCCTCTGAGCAGAGCAGGAGCTTGGCCAAGTCTGCCCCAGGAGAAGTTCCCTGAAGAGGAGCTGGTTCCAGAAGGCTCTATGATTGATTCATTGGTCTCATTGTTTTTTGGTACTGGAGATAACCCAGGGTTGTTGAACACCGAGCCACACCCCCTGCCCTTTTCTGTGTTTTACTTAGAGACAGGGTCTTTCTCAGTTGCTTAGGGCCTCGCTAAGTTGTTGAGGCTTTGAACTTGTGATCCTCCTGCCTCAGCCTTCCGAGCTGCTGGGATTTCAGCTTCATGTCTTTTAGAGTGAATATATTTAGAGTTTTGACTTAATGAAATTTTGAGGTACTCTGTGGCATCAAAATGACTCCCCATCGTTTCAGTCCACCAGCTGCTTTTCTTGATGGCCCTCTGGCCTCTCCCTCAAGATGATGTTTTTTTAAGTCATAGCCTCTGAATTGGGGATTGATGGACTTCTCACCTGTGTTAAATTCTTGAAGCATCAGCCAGACACTCTGCTCCACAGATAAGGTAAAGTGTTAGGAGCTGGACTGCAGTTCACCAGGCCTCGGTTGGAAAGCTGGTGAGGAGCCATCTCTAGACCTGGGAGGATGTGCAGCCATCTGCACGTCGTGACGGTTGACGGGCGGATTGGTGGTGGGCTTAGTTGGCTTCAACTGTACCCATTCCACAGACGATCACAGTGAGGTGGGAGTGAGTGGGGTGCACATGCTCAGGGTCACACAGGTAGGTGACCAAGTGCAACTACAGATACAGCAAGCCGTGAGGACCTGCCGATGAGGCGCGGGGGACTTGAACCCTGTTCTTTTTTCCTAGTGATTGCTGAGAGACGAGTCATCCTTTTGACAAACGAGTCAATCCCAGCACGGGGCTGCGTGGAAAGTCGTACGGACAGCGCTTCATGACGGATTTCCTCTTGGCTTCTGCCCCGTGACTCCGCTTTCAAACCAGAGATTCTCTGACCCAGCGAAAGTAAGTTCCCTGCTTTCTTCATGTTATAATGTCAACATGCACGATCCCGAACTCGGGAACAGCAGAGACCAGGGGGAGAAGAGGAGAGAAAACCAGATAGGAGACGTGAAAAGGCAGCGTAAGAAAACGAATCACAACCCCCCCGGAATCCCGGGTAGTGTGCTCCTCAGACGCAGATGGGTGTCCTCTGGGAGTGGGTGGCTAGGTGGAGGAGGCGGTACCCAGTGCCCGCGTCTAGGCGTGGGCGTGTGGTTCCCAGTCCCGCAGGCTTCTTCCCACCCTGGGGTAGCGGGGGCAAGGATGAAGACCTGCTGAGGACCTGGTCCCAATACCTTGGACAAAAACCCGTGACTCCTGGAGGCAAAGGGCTGGCCAGCTGCAGAGCTGGACCTCTGCCCAGTGCCCTGCGCTCTCTGTCCGGTGCCCTGAGGCCAGAGTTGCAGGCAGTCCTTGTGCCTGTGTGTTTACATGCTGCTCCTCCTCTGGAAGCAGCGGGATGCCAGGGTTTGTAAACACGGGTCTGCCCCTTCCTGTATCTCAGCCACCCGCATGGGCACTCACARTGTTTAAAAATTACTTTTATGCTTTTAATTGCACACACTTGTGGGGTCYGGTGTGACAATTTGATACTTGTGTTCAATGTGTGATCACATCAGGTGGTTAGCATTTCCGTCTCCTTAAACATGTACGTGTCTTTGACCCGGGAAGGTTCACACTCCTCTCTTGTAGTTTTGGTAAAATACACAGTCGCCTGGTGCGAGCCACAGTCAGCCCACTGTGCTGTGGAAYAGGACCCCCGCCTCGCTCTGTCTCGGCACCCACCTCCCACCGTCTGGCCTTGGGGGGCTGATGGCTGGTCTTGTTCCTTGCAGATGGCTTACCAGAAGTTGAGGCTGACCTACTACGCGTGCCTGCTGTTGGTGGGAGTGCTGTGCCTGTATTTCAGCATGGCTCCTTATAAAGAAGAGCCTTTCATTTTCAAGAAAAAATACGGGACGTTCCTTCAGCTCCCAGATATCGATTGCAGGCAAGATCCTCCCTTCCTTGTCCTGCTGGTGACTTCATCCCACCAGCAGGTGGCCGCTCGCATGGCCATCCGGAAGACGTGGGGGGGAGAGAGGACAGTGAGCGGGAGGCAGGTGAGGACATTCTTCCTCCTGGGGACCACGGCCAACCAGGACGAGATGAGCGCGGTGGCCCAGGAGAGCCAGCAGCACGGCGACATCATCCAGAAGAACTTCAGGGATGTCTACTTCAATCTGACCCTCAAGACCATGATGGGCATGGAGTGGGTCCACTACTTCTGTCCTCAGGTGGCTTTCGTGATGAAGACAGACTCGGACATGTTTGTGAAYGTCCACTACCTGACCGAGCTGCTCCTGAAGAAGAACAGGACCACGAGGTTCTTCACTGGCTTCCTGAAGCTCAACGAGTATCCCATCAGGAAGAAGTTCAATAAGTGGTTTGTGAGTAAATATGAATACCCCTGGGACAGGTACCCGCCCTTCTGCTCTGGCACCGGCTACGTCTTTTCCAGCGATGTGGCCAGCCAGGTGTACAACGTCTCYGAGAGCGTCCCCTTCATTAAGCTCGAGGATGTCTTTGTGGGGCTCTGCCTGGCGAAGCTGCAGATCCGGCCCGAGGAGCTCCACTCCCAGCAGACCTTCTTCCCGGGGGGGTTACGCTTCTCCGTGTGCCGCTTTAGGAAGATCGTGGCCTGCCATTTCATCACACCCAAGGAAATGCTGATCTACTGGCATGTCCTGGAGACCTCCCAGGAAGACTGTCCCGAGGTCTGAGTGGAGCCCAGTGGYACGTGGGTCCGAGATCTTGGATGGCGTTGCTGAGAATCCTCAGGGGTACAGAGGGAGTGAGAAGGACGCAGGGAGCAGGACCTGAGGACACTGTCCTTCAGKGCTCCAGACCCAAACTAGAATGATATGCGCTTAAACCAAGCTGCCCCAGGCGACACCCATCCCACCTCTGGAGCTCTGGCTCCTGCTGAGCACCTGGCCCCTCCCGCACTGGCTCATTTCAGGGCTCRGCGTCCCTGGGGGGTGGTGGGCACTGTCCTTCCYATTTTACAGATAAGGAAACAGTAGCCACTGTCCCAAGGTTTATAGCCAGCAGAGGTTGACCAGGCGTGGAAGCTGAGCAGGAATYTGGCTGGCAGCCCCCAGCGGGGTCCCTCTGTCCCTCGGGAGAGGATGGTGTTGTAAAGGCTGAGGAAGGCCTGGCAGCTGCACCCCACACCCTTTCCAGAGAGCCCTGCCCCTCCACTCCTGGCCTGATGCTTTCCTTACGTCCCTGGGGATGACGGAGCTGGGCCCTGAGTCCTCATTGGCGGCGCGGTACTCAGCCCTGGGCACATCCCAGAGGGTAGGCATGCCTGCGTGGCTGTAGCCCTCGCCCAGCTGCAGGTGGACACTGACTTGATGACTTCATCAGTTAGAAGCCGAATCCAGGGTTGCCTGTTGCGACTGGCCACATTGCTGATGTCCCCAAGGTTGTGATGCCTGTCCCCAGCCTTCAGGGACACCTGGTCTCTTTGCTGCAGGTCAGTGGGACAAGCCATAGCCCTGGAGTACTTTAGGGCCCTGAGTTCAGACTGAAGGCCACTGGGCACGCTGGATTCCAGGAACTTGCTGGGCATTTGGCTAGACCACAGCCAGCCGCCTTCAAGGACCCCGTATTTACAAAACACTAAGGTGGACCCTGGTCCCAGGGAGTCTCCCTGTGTCTACGTCCCCCAACCTGACCCCAGGTCATTGTCACTGAATTTCCCACATGGCCAAGGACCCACTGAGTCCTGTGGTTTGGAATTTAACCTCTTTTCTCTCCCCCAGAGGATTGTGTGAGCCCATTTTGCAGGGCTGCGTGAACAGAAGGCACTTCTCTGCCAGGACTGTGACCATTTGGCCACTGCCAGTGACATACAGAGTGTCTTGCTCCTCATTAAGGAACTTTGTGGTTTTTTTTTTTTTTTTAACTCTTTACTTTACCAGGCTTCATGCGGCTGCGGAACTGGCCAGTGTCGGGCTGAGCTCTTACTGGCCCTCAGGAAAGGCAGTGTGCTGCAAAGGTCTGGTGCCCGTTCTGCACGGCATTTCTCGTGTSTGGCTCGTGCTGTGGCCTCGTGGATGTTCCCCTCGTCCTGGCTGCTCTGAACGTGCGGGCGTGTTCAGAAGCGCCTCCTCCTCAGTGGGAACATGAGGGCTGCAATGGGGTCTGGAGCCCAGGTTTTGCCAGAGCCTGGGCCCTGGGTTCCTGGGGACTGACAGCCTCTGATTTGTCAGATGATGGTGCTTTGAAGTGAAGGACTGTCCGGCAGGAGGCCAGGGCCTGTGTCCAGTATGTGTCTGTGTCCGCTGGTCTCGGTGGGTGATCTGAGGTTGGCGTGGATGGTCTGGCACCAGCCTGAGCCCTTGGCACAGGGACAGGTGAGGACAGGTGTGGGCTCCTTCCACAGCCTCCGTGTGTTCTTCAGGATCTTCTGCAAAACCTCGACTCCCGCTGCATTTCTGTATGGGTTTTTTTTTTTTTCTGTAGGGGAAAAAATTATTCCATGATCTAGAACTTGCAGGACCTTAGTGCTCACCCAGCCCTGCCTCCTCACTTATGCGGGATGAGAGAAGCTCAGAGGGACCCAGAGGCTGCTCACGGCTCCCGAGCTGTGCAATGCAGGCTCCTGCTGTTTGGGTCYCAGGACCTGAGAGGAGGACCCCGTGAAAGCGTGGATGGGGGCAGAGAGTCTGTGCTTTCCCAGTGACACCGGATGGGACTGGAGAGGAGTGGGTTGGTCACACAGTGGCTTCACTCACGGGCATCCGAGAGGAGTGGTCTCGAGAGCAGACGCGGTGTGCCAGGGCGCTGTGTGCTCTGCCTCATCTGAATGCTCACGGCCACTGCCYGGGCAGCTGGCCGCCAGGGTCCGTGGTTTGTGGATGAGGCGGCCGAGGGAGAGGTAGAGCACCTAGCTTGAGGGAAGAAGCCAGAAAGTTTCAGAAACAGGACGGGATCCCAAGCCCTGGGGCCAGTGTGTGAGTCACAGCACTGCCCTGGGCCTCCCAGGCTGTCAGCTGGCCCCTCCCACAGCCCTGGGGCTGGCTGGAGCTCACACGCTGACTGCTCCACCTGCACTCCTGGGGACCCTTCTCAGAGGCCTCCGGCCACCACGTGTCACCCACCAGATCCTGGAGAGCCACGGGGCTCCAGCGGCCTCTGCTTTTGGACTCAAGTCCCAGCTGGTCTCACCTGGAGGCTGGGCCTCCTGCTCTGGACCCCACTCTCGGAGCTCTGTGGGATCACCCCCTGGGCACACAGACCAGCTGACCCTCCCGTCTAACACCCCGTCCAAGCAGCATGCCCCCGCCCCCACCCCCAGTCGCAGGCTTTGCCGCTCCTCCAGGGTCCTCCCGAAATCCCCCCGTCAGACCACRGCCCCCTCGCCCCACAGCCTTGGCCTTGCTGGGGCAGGTCTCAGTCCTCCTCTGACAGGGCCCGGCCGGGAGCGGTCACTTCCTGGACAGTTCTAGGCACCAGCGTCCAGGACGCCTCCTGGCCTTGGCTCCTGTCCTCGCCAGTTCCATGTCTTCTGCCCGTTCTTCTTCTTGCCCTGGTGTCCGGGTTGCTGTCTGTGGGCTCAGCCCAGCTGCCCTGTCCTTGGGGAGACCAGTCCTCATCCTGTGTTCTAAATGTCCTCGCTGTGTTGGTGGCACYTCGCTTGTCCCCAGCGGGTCCCCTCTGGTCTTCCATCTCTCATGTCCCCTATCTACCTACTCTTACGTGGTGAGCACAGCCACCCCAGCCCCTCCCCTCTGCCTTCCCTGTGTCAGTCAGTGGACTCTCTCTCAGTGGCCACTCCATCCTTCCTGTGGCTCCAGGCAACAGTCTTGCAGGTGTTGCTGGGCTGCGAGGCTGCTGGCTCTGCCCTCACCCCGTGTCCACCTGGTGCCCCTCACACGGCCACCCTTGCCCACCCGCTGCCTCTCACCTGCAGTCCTGCAGTGGCCTCCCGCCTGGACCCTCAGCCTCCCTCAATGCATCYCCTTAGTCTGTCCCCAAGAGCATCTGGAGTGAGCCTCCAAAATTGTGGAACAGAGAATCTGCTATGACTTGACTGTGTCCCCAAGTTCTTGTGTTGGAAACTGAATCCCCAATGCAGTGTGTTAGGAGGCGGGGCCTGTCGGAGGCGGGGCCTAATCGAGGCACTTAGGTGTGGAAAGCTCCGCCCTCATGAGTGGATTAGTGTGGTTATTGCAGGACTAGGTTGTTACGAAAATGAGTTAGCCCACCCCTTGCTTGCTGGCTCTCACCTCCTCTAGCTCTTCCACCTTCCACCGTGAGATGATGCAGCATAGAGGCCCTCTCCAGATGCTGGACCATGCTCATGGAATTTGCAACTTCCAGAACTGTGAGCCAAACATACTTCTTTTCTTATTAAGTTATCCACTTTCAGGTGTTGTGTGATAGTAACACAAAATGGATGGAGTCACAGCATCTCACTTCTTTGCTCAGAGACCCCAGTGGCTTTCCATCTCCCAGTGAAAGCCACATTCCTCATACCATCATCTGCCTCTGTTGTTCCCTTACAGTCTCCCCTCACTCACTCTGGCTGTTTGCTGTTCCCTGAACAGCAGGACTGCTCTGGCCACAGTGGTCTCTGTGCCCTTTCTTGAACATCCACCTCGGGGTCTTTGTGGACTGTTCCCTCTGCCAGGAAAACTCTTTCCTCAGTTATCCTCATGGCTCACTCCTTTCCCCCTCAAGTCTTTGTCAGATGCTGCCTTCTCAACGAGGACTACCCCGACCTCCTTATAAGAAATCGCCTCTCTCTCCGCCCACATCCTGCGTGCCCTTGTCTAGTGAGGCTGTTTAGACGGGGAGCCTCCCTTGTTTGTCGATCACGTTCAGTTGATGTGAGTGTGCGCTTGGTGGTCTCTGCTTCCCCGCGGACACGCTGAGTTCTTGGCGGGTTCCAGCTCGGGGTAGATGATGACAAGTGTTTGTTGAGTGGAACCAAATTGACCTTCATGGACGGTTTAGAGGGAAAAGGTGACTCTGGAAGAGTGAAGCGTCTCCATGACTCGAAGGCACTGGGTTCCAGCTGAGTCAGTGAGTGAGTGTGTCGTCATCGTCCCCCGAACCAAAGACAGGACATGCTCTACGGCGGTGCCCCCCGACCTCTGTGAGGGGCAGCCTCACGTGGCAAGACAGACAGGGCGCGTGGCCTGGGGGCCCGACTTCAGCCCCACGTGCCGCCATCTTGCCTCAGCCACGCCTGCCTTCCTCTCCTTGATGATTTTAGGGATCGGCCTCTTTGCCTCAGCCTGTGGACTCTTAGTTCCTGGGGAGAGTGACCCAGAACAACGGCCCTGGGGCCCCCAGGTTCTCCAGCCTTCCTGTCCCGGGTGTGTGGGCCCGGGTCCCCCTCCCTGTGTCTGCAGAGGCCATCRCTGGAGTGAGCGAGGAAGCCCTTTCAAGGCAGGTGGGGCCGCTGAGCTTCTTGAGCAGCCGTGGAGATCCCGTCCCTTCCGCTTATTTTCTGCACGGAAAGCCTGGGTTTGGGGAGCTGGTGCCTCAATTCTGCGCCCAGTGGCAGTGGAGGAGACTGGCCCTCCTGACCCTCATCCCGGCACAGTGGACACCTTGCTGTACAGCTTATGAGAAAATTCACTCCTGCTCGTCTAAAAACACTGCTGTAGCCACACACCCCGCTGGGTAAAGAGGAGCGAGAATCCAAGAGCGCAGACACTCGCAGGTCCCCCCAGTCTTGCCCCCAGTTCAGACGTTAGCCTCA